TGCTCACCAAGTTGTGCCAAGAAATCTGAAGAACAACCATTTGGCCAACTGACTGGAAGAGATCTATATTTGTTCCCATTCCAAAGAAAGGTGACCCAACAGAGTGTGGAAACTACAGAACGATATCAATGATTTCACATACAAGCAAGATTCTACTGAAGATTATCCAAAAACGACTGGAACAGCACATCAGCAGAGAACTGCCACAAGTCCAGGCTGGGTTTAGAAGGGGTCCTGGTACTGGGGATATTGTAGCTCATGTTAGATGGATCTTAGCTGAAAGTAGGGGATACCAGAAGAATGTATATCTGTGTTTCATTGATTATCCAAAGGCGTTTGCATGGATCATAACAAACTGTGGCTGACTCTGAGAGGAATGGGAATCCCAGAACATTTAATCATGCTAATGTGAAACCTATACTTGGACCAAGAGGTAGTTGTCAGAACAGAGCAGGGTAACACTGCATGGTTCATATTGGGAATGGTGTATGCCAGGGATGTGTCATATCTCCATACCTTTTCAACCTGTATGCAGAGCAGATTATCCAAGAGCCTGGGCTCTATGAGGAGAAGTGTGGTGTCAGGATTGGTTTGTCAAGGTACTATCTCTTTATTACATAAATATCTCTTTACTACCATAGTGGATGCTTAAGTAAATCCTTTCCTTGAAATACAGAGACATTCTGAATGGATCCTGAATAGATAACCTTAATTCTCTCCCATTTCCTACTGATAAACATAGGAAAAACTTTATCTTTTTGCCTTCTATGCAAAGAATAAGGAAAAGAGGAGTAACAAGAGATGGGGGAGGTAAAAGAGAATTTAAAAGAAAATGTATTCTATTCTATATTGCAAATAAGAGTGTCTGTGCCTTTCTGTTCTCTGCTAGGCTGACTGTTTTCTCCACAGGGGGTAAATATACACTCATCTGCTGACTCGCTCAACTCTGACTCACTCTGCTGATGTTGTTTTATTAATTTGGTCTCTAAAGGTCCATTAATCATGAGATGTTGGCTAGAGTACAATAGAGTTGAGTCCTCAATTTGAGAAGACAAATAACATCTCACAATGGCAACTTCCCAGACATCTCTCACTAACGCTCACCTATTTCTCCCTGAAATATTAGGTCCACACACTGTTCTACATAGGGAGCTCTTGTGGCTTGGTGATAAAGAGCTGCATTGCCAAACTGAAGGTACACTCTTTTGAATCTACCAGTTGCACCAAGGGAGGAAGCTGGACAATCAACTCCTATGCCATTCACTGCTGCTGAAAATCCACTGGAAGTTCGGCTATGGGTTGGTTCTGACTTGATGGTACACAATAACATGGAATTTTTCCCCTTACAACTTTCAAAATCATCCCAACTTATGCCTAGTCTTGAAAGGTATTGGCATTTGGGGTTCAGGAAGCATGCTTTCTATATCTACAGCCCTCCTGTCTGAGAAGAGGCAAGGAGTTTGTTTTT